AAAAAAAAAAAAAAAAAAAAAAAAAAAAAAAAAAAAAAGTAGAATCAAAAGCAACAGCAGCAAGGAAGCAAGTAAACAAAAGAACGAATGGACGTCAACCCAACGCCGTCGGTGCCAAAACCCCGATGACTCCGTAATGCTATAGTCAATATAAAACGAGTCGAGAGTAAAGTTCAACACAATCCCAGAAATAACGAGTCATTGGGTATCCTAAGCGAGCAAGCCAGAGCGAAGTGACATAGTAGGTGAGGTATGCTGGGTGTGGGTGATGTGAGGTGTATCATGTCAGAAAGTGAGATGTGAGAAGAGTCATAGCCAAACAAAGGAAATATAGAGAGTAGACAAAGGGAAGAGATCACAAAGGAAATAATGGTGGACACCTCACATCCAGCAGTGGAGAGAATCGAGTCGACAGTAAAGATAGTGTTAGTGCAGATCATCGAGAACCATGACAAAAGCAACGAAACAAATATTAGCAAGGCAAAGACAAAAAAAAAGAAACCAAAGAGAGACATTAAAACCATCTACAGCTGTAGATCCAGCTACAAAAATAACTCCTCGGCCCCAGTCTCCGGAGCGGTGAAGAATGCAAATTGTCAACGACAACAACAGCCAACGAATGGTTTAATCATTAACCATATCATCCAAGGCCATCTTTCGACGCTTGGTGGGCTTTCCATCGCCACTTTCGCCCTCCGCCCCGGACTGCGGTTCATCCCTTGCTTGTGCGTGTGCATGTGCATGTGTGCTGGACGAAGGCAAGTGGACCGAGTGCCGGTGCGCGGGGATGATGGACTCTGGCGGTCGCGGGAGGGCCTGCTGCTGAGGGAAGTTGAAGTCGGTAGGAGCAGGGTGGTAATGGTGGGTCTGCGTGTGAGGCGAGACGGGGTCCATGAGACTCGGGTGGTGTTGGTGTTGGACCATTGGGGGAGGGAGGTCCTCGCGGGTGCGCGGGGACCAGGACGGCGGGAAGGGGTCGCTCAGTCGGTGGCTCTGGCCTGGGGGGCTTGCACCTGCGCTTGGCATCGGGGGAAAAATTGGGGGGAGCCGAACTGGGGACTCGAGGTAGGTGTCTTGGGGGTCTCGCGAGAGGGGTGATTCGCCCATCGACTGGCGGCTCATGTATGGCGAGCCGCCGTAGATGGGTTGGTATGTTGGCGGGGAGGTGGGTTGCGGTTGGAAGGGCTGGTTCGCGTAGGACGACGGTGGTCTTCCCATGACTGGGGGCATACGGCTTCCTCCGAAAACGGGGCTAAGGGGTCCGGCCATGGGAACGTATCCGGGTGGTGGCGGGGCTCCTCCCAACGGCTGTATCGATCCCGCTGAAGAGAACCTCCTGTGCCCCGGGTTTCCTGGCATCGCCAATGCAGGATCGACCACTTGAGGGTTGAACATCGAGGTCGACCATCTCTGGGGTGGCAGTCCCATTGATCCTGGGTGCGCAGGCATTTGCAGGTCCGTCACGGGACGGATCTCGCGAGAACCGGTGGTTCTGTGTAGGGAACGTCGGGTCTGCGAAGCCTGGTCTCCTGACGCTGCATGGTCGAACCGCGTGCTATACGGTCTTAGAGAGGCTTCCTCGGCCTTGAGCGGCGGCCGTCCTCGTTTCTTATGCGTAACATCAACGCAAGTCGAAGATTTGCCAGACAGAACACACCGCCGACACGGCCGTGCGGAATCACAACCAAGATGCTTCTTCTTGCAATTGACACACGCAGACGCCACATGAGCCTTTGTACGCCGGGTCGGTTTCTGGGTCAGATTTCTCGATGCTGATCCAGGGGACGTAGTAGTCGGGTTGGCAGGCGGATACGACATTTCAGGCTGCGAAACGCCTTGCGGACCAAACGACGGTGGCCATCTTGGGGCTGACGGATCATGATAAGCAAGCGGTGGCTGGGCATGCTCCCGAGTCGACGCAGCCATGGACGACGTCGGAGCGCCGATAGCACTCGACACACCCGTGGTCGTAGTTAACGGCTGAGGAAGCTCTGGATGTCCTGAACGTCTTGCATGGCCCGAGATATCCAACGAATCGTCACCACCAACCGAGTCAGACATAGGGCGAGGGAGTGGAAGGGCCCGAGGGCTGTACCCTCGAGCATGAGTTGAACAAGATCGATCCAACGGGAACCTCTCCGGGCTCGAATTAAACCTGGGCAGTCCGAACTGGGGCGTCGTGACGAAGGGGGCAGGAGGGAGAATTAAGGATTGCATCTGGCAGCAGAACACAGAGGAATAAAACAAGACACTTGACACGAAGTGAGGAGAAAGAAGAAGGGATGGTGAATTCACAAAATGCTGACAGGAGAGACACAGTCACAGCATATCCAGCCCTCGCAGCGAAATCTCTCCGTGGTTGGCAGTAATGTCAGGTTCCTCCCGTCAATGAATCGAGAGTTTTTATCCTGATGCTTCGGAATCAAGGAGACTAAAGGAGCTTATAATATATGTCAGTCTGAAGATCCACGATTGGAGCAGTCACATAAGGAAGGGTCCGTCGGTCAGCGGCCAGACGCCCCCGGATCAGGATGACAGTATATGGTGACTATGTATGCACTATTTTCCCCATCTGGAGCTCCGATGGCCCCCATGCCGGTGTCGATTTATTGCAGCACAGGGCAATCAATGGAGCTAGGGAAGAGACAGCGCAGAGTGCAGACCAGTAGTGGAAGATAATAAAAGAAGCACAAATAATAAAATAAAATAAAAAAGGGCCTTACGTCCCGAGAAAAGGACGCTATACCTTACCTTCTCGAAGCAAAAATAAATGCACGTTAATTGTCTTTATAGGCGAACACGTCCAACTCTGTATGCACAGAAGATGCAGCCAAAGAGTAAAAAACGGTGAACTATACCGGAGTCACAGGATATCGGTGGGACGAAAGACCTTATTTTATGATCTCCCCAAAAAGAGGAGATTAAAAGTAAAAAAGGAAACAGATTTAGAGCAAAAGAAAAACCGGAAGTAATCGGAGAGATGGCCTCTCTTTCCTGAAGCAAGAATCCGGTGGTCGGTATACTCTTTTTTTTTTGAATCTGCGACAAGGAAAAGGGAATATAAAAAAGGGAGGGATCTCCGGCAACGGTATTGGCCTCTAGCAATGTCAGCTATCGTCTTGCAGGTTATCGACGACGCTTATACCTGCAGCACAGCGAGAGCAAAGGTCGAGAAGGGGAGGGGAAAGGGAAAAACGGGTTAAGTGATGGATGGTCATACATCCATTTTCGCAGTAGAACGGAAAAATGCTAAGTTTAAAGTATAAGAGGAGTAAGTGGCCAAAGTCACTGAGACTAGCAACCGATAGACTTGATCTCCATCCGGGCAGATCTCGAATGGGGATCCTCCCCTCCTCCTCTTCCCATTCAGGAAGTACGGCAGTTTGTATTGTTCCCATAGCTTCTGCGAGACTAATTTTTTTTTTCTTTTTCGCCTACCTTTTCCTGCCTGCCTTCTGTGAGTGGATAGAATAGGAGGAGTCAATATGCTTCCAATCCTCCGGGGACCCAGTCCAATAAGCTCGATCTTCAGACGGTTCCATACCGGGAGTGGGTTCGTCGAAGGATCGCCAAATAGTATAATTTTGAGAGAAAAAGAAAAAGTGAAAAAAAAAAAAAAATATTGTATTATTCGTCTTCCCTGAATTATTCTGTAATGCTCACTTTTTCCCCTTCAGTAGTGCTCCGTACAGAGCAGTCTTCCGGTATTGGAGACGACCAATTCGGAATGAATGCCACGGTCCAAGTCAATGATACCCGTCGCAAAAAGTGGACTAGTACTCTGTAGTAGATGAAAAGGGAGAGGGGCTAGAAGAAAAATAGAAAAGAAAAGCCCGGGCCATAATAATACTGTATAGTAAAGTGGCCCGGTCTGTAGACTATGGAGACGGGGACGGAGGTGGATGTGGCTGCACCTCCACGGTGGAAGGATTACATGCGTACAGTATCTATCTCTCTATACTCCGTACTCCCGTCTACTATGCAGATGGACTCAATTGGGATGGTGACATGAAGCAAGTCCGCATGGGGAGCAAATCAGGAGAGCTAGACCGGGGGAGGAAGAACTGCTGAAGCAAGGCGAGAGACACAGATCGACGCCGGCGCCCGCCGGCCATTGGCAATAGTTCCTCGGCAAGGATGAGCATTCCTGGGTGATCTGGTGGAATAGGAGCATTTTTTTTCTTCGTTTTATTTTTCTTTTTATTTCTCGTCGAGGTCACCGGGCATACATACTTCGACCAGGGAACAATAATACATTTTAATAATAATAACAACATCCTGGAGTTTCTTCCTATTCAGACCACCGAGACCACTCAGACCCGAGTGATATCCGCTCGTGACGAATGAGAATTGAATGGTTCGGTCCATAGGCTGTTGCTTTTAAAGCATATGCTTAATTCTCCTGGGTTTTTCTTGAGTCCCTTCAATCAGCAGCGAACTCCTGGTCTCGGGACATTCTGATTGGAGCGCTTCCCCTCTTTTTTCCTTTTTCTTTTTTGGAGAATTGGAGGGGAGGGATGCGTGTATCCTGTCCCGGATTCTGTTGCAATAAGACGCAGCATCGCAGCTTTCCCGGTCATTCGGAAACTCGTTGTCCTCTGGCCCCAGCCAGTATGCGGCTCTCTATCCCATGCGGGTCTGGTGATTTCTACTCCATGCTGTCTACAAGTGCAGTACGTCCATCCTCGAAGGAATGACATCAAGGTTTCGACGATCTGAATCCTTTTTCCGAAGCATCACCGTAGAATATGGGACGCCGGGTACATATGTCACTCTCGGGGAGACACAATCAATAGGGAGACCCAGGGGCATGGGTCCCTATGATCAGCCCCCGAAAACCTAGTTCGGCGTCTTCGCACCCCCCAAGACCTGTCGAGTTAATAAAATACTGAAAGACCCAAAATATGCTGCCTGACAGGTGGATTTGAGAGAGTTTTTTTTTTTTCTTTTTCGTGTGACTGTGACGCCAGGACGAGAATCGGCCGAGCAAGACAACACTTATGTGCACATTTTATTTCTCCGCAGCGGTTCCGTGGCGCGTTGCTGAGAATGACCCACCACCATATTGTAGCACTGCCGGGTTGGTCTACCTGAGCATCTTTGTACGGAGTACATCTGACTTTGAACGTATTCGCGACTGCATCATGGTACACTCCATTACAGGGTATCGAGTCCCTGAATCCAACAGCTTGGGTAAACGGCCTCGGAACAATTAGATAAAAGGAACAACAGTGAAGAAAATGAGACACGCGGAGCTCTATGGGTCCAGCAAAGCCTCCACAGTGTAAAGCCGGTTTAGGCATGGTACATTAGAGATTCCAAATAAGTCTCATCCAGAGGTATCAGACAGCTGCAGGCGCTTAGTCCGGATGGCTGGGCATCACATGAGCTTTGAGTTGCACCGTCCGCCGTTGTCAGATTCAACGGTGTAGTCCGTAAAGGGGTCTTTTTTCTCCTTGTTAGTGTACCGCTTTACTATGTGCATACTCCGTAGCTCGTCATTGGGGCTTATGATGCAAAAGGGGGGCAAAAATGAAAATTGGGACGGTAGGAAAATTTCAGGCGTTGTGATCTTCCGGAGAGGGGACCATGATCAACCTCCTGGTTAACGGACTCCGATTACCGGTTGAATTCTCCTTCTCCCTAGCTCCATCCGGGCATTATTGTCAGAAATCGCGAGATTTCATGGGAGGAGAAAAATGACTCTTTTTTCCGACTATTGCACAATAACCCATTCGGGCCGTCTGATAAGATCCACATCTAGCACGGAGCAATGGAGCTGATCGAACGGAAGGGCCACAGCGATCAACACCGAATTGATTGAGTGACGGGTTCACTAAAGCTAAGGGTCAACGGTTATGGCTGCCGTGTGCATTAGGAGTCCAGTGCACGTAAATCATGTTTTGTAAGAGTTTCAAAGGATGAATGTTACTGGAAATACTCCTGATCATTCCATCGGTTTACGCCGAGTCTCTCGGGGAATTGCCTACTGTCTTTGTGTTGTCATTGGCATTTTTCTTCTTTTTCTTTTCTTTTTCCCGGGTCCTGTATATGGATGAATTCCGGTTCTACTGTCTATATCGTACGGAGCGGAATCCTAGAGCCTTTTCGAAAAAGAGAACAAGATTGCCCGGTCACCACCGAACCTCCATTTCGCGGCTAGAAAATATTTAAACAGAATTCTTCCTATGGAACACGCCATAGTACGCGGAGTACAGCAAGGGGGCAGCAGATGGTGCATAGCAGCGGAAATCATTATTCGGATTGGACAGCCCCTCTGGAAAGAAAAGAATGACCTCTCGACTATGTATCCAGTAACATGCACTGAAATGCGCATTCATCATGATTCACGCAAGCCGCGGCGCAAGACCAACACGATCTACCTACTAGGCCCCAGTAGGAGAGTCGATAGTTCGGGGGACGCCAAATGCCAGATTAGATATGGTGGTAATCCCAAATGCCAGATTAGATATGGTGGTAATCCCAAATGCCGTAGCGTCATGCTAGACTGGAAGGATTGGCAAGATCTTGCTATCTTTTGCTGCCAAGTCTGTCGGTCAAGTCATCATGCGTTGGATGCCAACCTTTCTGCAGAGAGCTGGAGCTGACAATCATCATGCATCCACATGCCCAATCCATGGCTGGCTGCATTGCTGCTTCTTCGTAGTAGTATTCAGTACTATTTTCTCATCTGAAGCTCTCCGTAAGGGAGATAGAGCTACCTCCGAGTACTACGGAGATGAAGCCTTCCCAAACCGGTTTAGCATCTCTAACCCCATTCGGAAACACGCATCTCCCGGAGAGGAAAAGATCGATCCTACTGGATTTGTCATGTGAGCCGCAACTATCAAGACACTATTGTGACGAATTCATTGGCTTCAGACCCGGGGTTGGAATGGATTGGCGCTGCCTCTCAACGCCCATTCTCGCCCAGCCGGATATTTCTAGAGTCAATTCGGCGCCTGGTTAAATCACCCTAGTCTCTCCGATGGACCCAGCTTCGGCTCCAGATGGCGGATTAAGGGGCGTGCTGGAAAATTCACCGTCCCTAATGTCAACGGAATGTCTACTGTGAGTCCAGAAGGACAGATTACTTCAGTTTGGTGTGATACAGACTATTAGATTGTACTACGCGATGGACTCGACCCGGAGAGATGCTGATCCTTTTCCTTTTCCACAGACAAATCCTCCGAAAGGGTCTTATGTCACAACTCAGTCTGCTTGGCGAAATTGCTACGGAGGATTGAGAGAGGGAAAGTCTGCAACGCTTTGCGTCTTTGGTGCTATCATGGACTCAAAGAGTCGGAGTGACTGCGCCGTAAAGCCTATGCCGGTGTACTGCATGATGTTGCTTTCCTACTGGTATCTGACTCCGTACATACTCCGTACTTTGCCATACCAATGCGGATGGTAGTTCAGCTTATGTGCAAGTGGCAATAGCGCAGTCCGTGGCTGAACTAGAACAACCTGGCACATGGATCGCCATAATGTGCTCACACGGATGCGCGAGTCCAGCAACACCTCCCAGTCCATTGGGAAGCTAGTAGCGTCGGTGTGACCATGGCTACCATGATAGTCCATGTTCATTGCTATGCAGAGAGCTGCAGCTGAATGGGGCTTACGAATGAAAGAGAAGGAGAAGGTAAGGGCAACAAAGAGCTGAGATCGCAAGCTGACGGTGAGAATCATACTAAAGACACAAGTCATCATACTCGCACGATTTCCCTTCAGCTATCCTGACAGACGTTCACATAGTCCGCTCACGTATACGTACATATATATTGATCAAATGCAACATAGCTGGCATACTACAAAGTTATATCGATGCAACTAGCAGAATTATGGAGATGTAGCATCGCATTGCATTGCATGAACCCGCAGTATCCTTGCTCGGATCTCGCCTCACAACACTTTGGAAGAAACATCCAAATTACCCTGGGACGTCGCCACACTCGAGCAGCCCTCGTCATTTTGCCGGACCGTGCTGCTTCCGCTAACCACCGACTGGATGGCAATAATCACGGAGCGGCTGTGTTGGAGGTCCGAAGTACTCCGTACGCTGTACGAAGTACATATGCATAGAGGATTTGCTTCTTCTTCTTCTTCTTCTTCTTCTTCTTCTTCTTCTTCTCTCCCAGACTCTCGGACCGCACGGACCTGTCAGTCGATCCGGTCCGTAGTATACATACCTGTACGTAGCTTTTACCTTGGAACATATCTGCCTGTTCGCAGCACCAGTTGTGCAACTCGCCACAGTACTCGGGATCTATTGCCGGGCTGAAGTTGCAGCAGACCAATTGAGAAAGACACCGTCGTATCCGATATCAAGGAATAGCTCCCAGGATGCTCCCGCGTCAAGCGATAGTTATTCGGGCGAGAAAGGCATCGAGGACGAATAACGAATTATTCCAAGAATGGAAGCAATGACTGCTTGTCGGTAGGCAGTGACCAGTCACTTACAGAACATGTCGAGTACGGGGGCCATGCAGTTCAATATACATACGAAAGTAACTGTCGGTGAGGATGTGACGAGTTCGATTTCCGAGTGATTAACACCAACCTGCACTCACCATTCCAGAAGCCGGAGTTATAAATTTATTCACGAGTCCATCTTATTTGACTGATCATGCGAGAAGATTCCACAATGTTCTTTCAGGATTCTATTCTACCATGTACATACCACCCCCGTACTCTGTACAAGTATAGAGTACAATACAACTCATTCCCCGCAAGCTATTTGTATTCCCCAGGAAAAATGCAACATGTCTCAGATCCAGATAAGCGAAGGGAAGATCCCTGTCGTTGATCATGTTCGTATTTATGCAAGTTAATCCATCGGCTATCTTGGATTGCTTTTGGTCATGCATATATAAGCACATAGTTGTAGCGGCTAGCGGCGATGTGAACAATAGTACTCTATGAATTGAAATATTCTGTCCTTTTCGTATGTATGAATTCAAGTGGAAGTATGCAGACTATTCGAGGCCATTGGCCGTCCAGAAATACCCGTCTATCCAGGCAGTAAGAAGCCTTTCTGCCGACCTGCCATCCATGCTCCGAACATTCACGGTAGGGATTCAGTCTATCCTATTTCGCATAACTCGTTGGGTTAACTGATACCGTTAGGCGATTCTGGCCTCGAGGCAAATCCTCATTCAATCCGATGTGTTTGGTGCCGGGTGGTTTGTAGTACTCTGTACTTGATTAGTTGGCTAAGGATAAAAATCTACCTCGTAGAAGAGTCGCAAATATAAGGGTATCAAGGCCTACAATCAGGTCTAGAGCAGCATCGTACAGTGTACACTTTTTATTCTATCCACGAACAACCAGGTGTATCCCAAAGTATATACAACCAAGAACAATCAAACTACTTCTTCTTCGAAGGCCTCGCGTTCTTCTCCTTCCTCCTCTGTTCAAGCTTCCTCGTCTTGCGAATATCATCCGTACTATTAATCTCACTCTTCCCCTTGAACGCCGCACCGCCCGCCTTAGCCAACGTCCTCTCCTTAGCCGCGTCAAACCGCTTCTTCCTCTTCTCGTAGTCACCACGCAACGGATCCGCAGCCTTGGGCGCCTGCTCCTTGTTATGTCTGTAGCGACGTCCACCACCCATATGCGCACCAGCAGCAAGATTGGGTGCCTCGGCCTCGCCAACACGCGGTAGACGGCCGAGTCGCTTGCCCTTTTTCCACGCGTCGAAACGTCCGCTGCGGAACGATGCGGCAATCTTGGCGCCGGATTCTCCACGGACGAGACGAGAACCCTTGGAGCCGTCTTCGTCATTCTGACGGGCGACGTATTTCTTGTGCCGCTTGTCCCAGCGGAGTTGGGTGCGTGGCTCGCCGATGCCCTTGGCACCTTCGTCGCCGCCGATGTCCATCATTGCACTGCGCGAGGCTTGCGCGAAGTTGACATTTGTGCCGGAGTGCACGCCGTAGCCGCGGTCTTCGGCGAGGTTGGCGTTGGTGGGGGTGTAGGACATGAAGTAATCGGGGTTTTGGAAGGAGGCGGCGGTAGGCTTGGAGGTGTCGTTGGGTTGTTGGGAGTAGGAGGAGAAGGTGACTTCGAGGTCGGAATCGTCAGCTAGGGACATGTTATCGGCGACGCCATCGGCTTCGTCTTCGTCTTCGTTTTCGAGGGGAGCGTCTTCATCGGTCTTGCCGGCTGTGGTGCCTTCTTTGAGAGAGCTGTCGACGAATTCTGATGTCCCAGTAGCTGTCTCTGCACGTCTCTTCTTGTTATCCCGGGAAGTGCGGATGCGCTTGATCGTGTCGATTGTCTCGTCGCTCTCGGCAGTCTTGCCGTTTCGTCGGTTGTTCGCTTCGAAGATGGTCTCCTGTGGGCGGTAGCCTCCGATCCGCGCGAGCATTTGTTCCCGCACTGCTTCGAGGTTACTGCTTTCGTCGTTGAAGAGGGCATGGATGGAACTCCAGGCGTCAGACGTTACGACTTCCTTCGCCCGCTTGGCACTCTCCAGAGAAGCAGAATTCCTTGTGCGGATGTAAAGCTTCTCACCCTTGGCGGCAACCCCACGCTGGGCGAAGATATCGTCATCCTCGTCCAGAACTTTGTTCACCCACTCGCAACTCCGTGAAAGGCCATCACGAGGAAGCGCACCGACAACAACGTCCTCTGCAAAGTTCGCTTTTCCGGCATTCTCCCGACCAAGAACCAGTTTCCGTCCGAGAAAGAGCTGCAGGTCGAGCAGGTAGGGGGCGTCCGAATCACGGACCAAGCTGTAACTCCAACCCTTCTTACCCGCACGAGCCGTACGACCAACACGGTGAACGAAGATTTTGGGTTGGGAGGGGAAGTCGTAGTTGATGACATTGGCTAGAATGGGAATATCGATACCACGAGCGGCGACGTCGGTGACAACCAGGATGTTCGAAGCACCTGTCCGGAAATTCTGGACTTGGATCTTTCGTGCTGTTTGATCCAGAGCACCATATGCGTAGGACACTGCAAAACCGGCTTCTTTTAGTAGATTCGCCAGATAGTCGACGTGATGCTTGGTCGCTGCGAAGACGATAGTCGAGTGCTGTGTGGGCGACTCCTTGTTAACAGCATTGTTGAACCGCGGACGCTTGCGCTTCTTGCTGTGATGGGATTCATCATCGTCTTCGGCCAGTGCTTGCGCAACACCAGTCGGCCCAGTTGGCATTTTTATGACCTCGTGTAGAACGTGAAGCAGAGCACCCTCTTTATCCGCACTCTTGATAGAGAAGAATGCACTCTGCAGATCCGGAGATACCTTACTCTCAGTGTCCAAACGGATAAGAGTAGGCTCCTGCAAACCAGCACGGGCAAACTCCACCAAAGACTTGGGCAATGTAGCAGAGAATAGCAGCGTCTGGCGAGTGAAGGGAAGGCCGTGCAGAATCTCCGTCAACTGAGCAGCGAAACCCATTTCGAAAAGACGGTCGGCTTCATCAAACACCACATACTTGATACTCGACAGGTCGAGCTCCATTTCCACTTTCAAATGCAAGAAACGACCAGGTGTGGCGATGACAATGTCAGGGTTACTGGCCATCATGGAGAATTGGTCTTCCAAGCTGTCACCACCAACTAGCAAAACACACTTCAGATCCGTCCCGCGGCCCAACTCCTTGACAACCTTCAATGTCTGCAGCGCCAATTCACGCGACGGAGACATAATTAGCCCTCTTGCTCCGACCTGGGTGCTGTGGCTCCTGAGTTTCTGAATCATGGGAATAACGAAGGCGGCCGTTTTTCCCGAACCCGTCCGAGCCATACCAACCACATCCTGATCATCCATAATCGTGGGGATCGTCTTGCGCTGAATCGGAGTCGGAACCGAGAAGCCCTTCCGAGTGATAGCCTTCAACAGATTCGCATTCAAACCCATCGCCTGGAAACCACCACCTTTCTTCACGGTACGGCCCTTGAGGTTCGCGCCTTTACGGTTCGCCGATGTCTGCTGCGCCGCGATGAACGCCTCATCGTCTTCATCATCGTCGCCGTTGATCTCTGCTCCCAGGAAATCGAGGTTATGAGTTGGTACTTTCTTCTGTTGCTTCTTCGGCGCTGTCACGGTCTGCTCGTTGTCGGAGTCGCCATCGTGCTGGAAGAGAGCATTGGTAATATCAAATTCATTCTCCGACGCTGCTGGAGATGCCGCGCGACGCGGCATATTGGTTTATCTGCGCGACTGTTTATTCGTATAGAAGTATTTTGACTGAATGAATCGTCTTGCGAAGCGGAAAACTCGTTATCGGTCGACAGAGATTTTGTGTGATTAAATTCGAACCAAACTGTATGCACACCTGTCAGCAAGAATGCGATAGCCTTTTTAATCCAATTACAGCAACTCACAGGAAAAAATCTCCCCTTCGTTAAGCTCCTTGTCTATCTTGAACTTTTACTTTTTCGGCGATGGAAAAAAAGCCCCGGGCGGTGAGGGGTCAAAGTTCCTCCGATATTTAGCCAAACACCCCAAACGCTGCAAACAATATAAACACCCCCGCGACGCGTCCAACACGTCTGGCGTCCCGAATTGGTAAAATGGAATCAAGCTCAGTTTGCAGTGTACATCACCTTATATTGCACACTTTTAATAACACATAAAATGGGTAAGTTTTGCTCCTACCAGAGTTTCTGGAACGCGCTGATAATATAGATTACGGTAATTCATTCGGAGGGGGCGGCTTCATGCCTGGCGAGATGAGTGCCAGTCCGGGAGGAGGAGGAAAGGTATTGACCCTCACTCACCTCGAACATGGAAACATGATACTAATAATATACGATAGGGCGACCTCAACAACACCACCCTTCGTCCCATCACAATCAAGCAAGCCCTCGACGCCTCGCAACCATACCCTGAAGCAAACTACCAAATCGACGGCGCCGACGCCTCCTCCATCACCTTCATCGGCCAA